CATGGCTAAATGGGCACTATTTAGGTGAGAACTTAAGGAGAATAAGTGTTTATATTTACAAACAGAACTGTATAAAGTGAATTCTGCATCCTTGTCATCTTTAAACAGTCTAAATAATCCCGTATCGGACTATGGTGGATTTTTGGCTCTAGCATGCCTCCACTCTGGCCTTACTTCTCTTGCAAATACCAGTAAGACTCAGCTTAAGAATGAACAGCAGCGCCTTCTAGTGGACGGCAGTAATTACACCATTGTAAGGCAACAACTTATTAATAAATCAGATGGCACAGATTGCAATCTAATAAAACATTCATCAATAAATAATTTATATTTCATTATTTGTTAACATGCCTAGTTCTGTGTAATTTTTGACAAGTTAGCATTTTCTCCCACATGAGTAGTGGGTCTCTGAAGCTCCTCCAGCGTCACTGTGGCTAAAGTATGAATATTTTAGCAGGGCATTTTATAATGGAAGTCAATAACTTTCATATTATTAGGCCGGGAACTAAGAAAGGACTGCATTTAGAGAAAAAGACAACAGGATTATGTTTGATTTAAAGTCAACATGTCCAATTATTTGACTATAGATGTGTTGAATATTATCACAGAATGTTAGTCGTGCAAATAAAGTCAGGCAGTCTTGTGAAAACAATGCTTGCCATGTTAGACGTCCCTTCGTGTGGGAAGGTTTATTTTTACTATGTTGTCTGTGTGCGACGCCTTTGCTCTACTACCAGAGCTACGTGTCTCTTGGATAATCTTGGTCGTATCTATAAGTGGCATTGGAGCAGAATGAGCTGCTTAGCATCTGTCAAACCAAATAACCTCTTTTACCTTCTTCCCACCTACTGAGGTGGCAGCAGTGAGGTTGTAAAGGGATGAAGAAGTAGTTTAAGAGTAATGAGTAAACTGCAACCATACTGGGCCTTTGAAGACATAAATCAGTGGGATCTCTTTCTTTTATTCTATTCTGCATTCTTTCTTCCATTGTTTCTACATATCAAGAAGCCATCTGGCGGCGTTCTTATTAGCTGCATCTCTCCCTAATGCACCACCTGGTTATTTACAGCAGCTTTCTTTGTCATAGAGTCTCCTGGAAAATCTCTTTCTTTCATTTCCTTTACTTCTTTTAGATATGAGCTTGTTTATAAGATTCCTTGTTTGTTGGACTTTATCTCCTTTGCTATTTTCTTTTGGCAAAGCAACAAAGACTTTTGCATGTGTTGCTCTACCTTGCAGCAATTCGTGCATCCTGTAGAATGCTTGTTGTAATGCCAGCTGACCCGAGAATGACCAGAGGGAGTGAACCAACTTCCAGATTGGTCAAGGTCTGCTTGTCCTCACGGTGCACTTTGTAGGGCGAGCTGTCACAGTGACCTGCGCGGACCGGTGACTTGTATGTGTGCAGAACAAAACCTCTGCTGTTAGGACATGGCGTCAAAGCAATGTGAAGTACCTCTCTGAGGGCTGATAAAAGGCCATGTCCACTTCCTGTTTGACGAGCACACAGGGCGACGCTGTTTGTCTCATCTGGTGATGACAGACAGGTCGTTATGTTGTTTGCTGTTAAATCTGATCCTATAACTGATGTTTTCCATTATCCTGGGTGAGCATGACCTAAAGCTCAGATGTACAGACATTTGTAGTCAATGTGACTGTATTTGGGTGCAACACAATAAGCAAGTTTTAATGTTTCCTTTAAATGTATGGTATGGTTTTTCAAAACATTTACAGATAACAATCTAAACTGTGGCAGAACTGCATAATCTGGCGACTTAAATAAAATCCAGTGCAACCAACTGTACTTAAAAAAGTTAATCTAGCTTCTAAAAAGTTCCCACCTGAGAAATTTGATCTCTGTAAATAAAAGAGGGATGTTGTAGAACATTGGAGCGAGATTTTTTTGTACAGTGGGCTGACAGGAACAGGGTAGGAGAGAGAGGGAGAAACATCTGGCAAAGGACAACTAAAGCACGCCCCAAAACAAAACTAAGAAAAAAATCCTCATACAGTAGATCAGTGTACTGTACAGTCTCACTGTCACCCTGGAGGAACTGTAGAGATCCAGCGCTCAGGTGGGAGAATCTGTTAATACAAGTATCAGCTCTCATTTAACCACATCTGGTCTTTATAGAAAAGCATCTATAGATAATAAGATGAATTTCATCAAACCTGATGAAGATAAACCCCAAAAGGCTCCCAGCTCTTATTACTAAAGATGATCTATGAACTGTTCTTACGGAAGACTCAATACGAATGAATGTCACACTTTTCAGATTTTTCCGCTATGGATCACATTAAATCTCAATTTAAAATGTTGAATTTTCTATTCCTAAAAACAAATAAGTATGGAGAGGTTTGGGGGTGGGAAAACTTTTACACTGCACTGTCCAAGTCTGTTATGTTTCTTATTAGCCTGTAGGTAGGGCTGATTGATTTAGCCAAAAATCAAATTGCGATTATTTTCAACCAATGTTGCGATTAAAATTTTATTGTGATAATCCTTTTTACTGAGCCCAAGCATGTTGGTGTTTTACTCTAGGATTTCAGTTTTTTCTTGACCTTGAAAGCCTGCTTGTCCGGAGTCAGACTTTACTGTTAAACTTGCACAAAAAAGCTCTTATTTCTACTATCATGCGTTAATCTAGGTGCTAGCTGCAACTTTCTTCCCTTCTGTGTGTCAACATACCCACTTTAATTGTATCACTGCCACCTAACTATTTAAGAATTTTGAATAAAAATTGAGTGCCTCCGAGATTTGTTTTTAAATAGCATTTTGCTAAATTTCAAATATTATAAAAAAGCCATTAATTGTACAGCCATACCTGTAGGTTTGTTGTTGTTTTTTTGCACCACAGTAGCTTAAAGATAAATACAGATCTTTATTAACTCTGGCACATTTCTTTGGTTTTGCATTTTACTCGCTGCAAACAAATCTGCTCTACATATGATGACTGCAGGATTTGCATCCAACATTGCTGTAACTCCGTTCTTTTCTGTTATCTCAGATTCTTCCTCCCAGCAGCTCTTAGACTTTATAACCATCCCTGCTCCCAGCTAACGTAATAAGTTGATGCTTTTTTTTTCATCTCTTGAAAAGACTTTGTTGTTTTTCAAGCACAACTATGTAAACAAGTTTTGTGTGCTTTCCTAATCCCTTTAGACATTTTCACATTTCTTTAATTACGGCCTTAACTTTCAGAGATTTACTCAATCAGGCTCCTTTTTACAGCTCTGATTTGATCCGTAGATATAAAACTTGTCATAGTTTGAAGTCACCAAACCAAAACCCGCTGTGGTTTCAAGCTGTCGCACCCAGACTGTGAACATTTCCTACTTTCCTACAAAGTTTGGCTTCTGTAGATAATTTTAAAAAGCAGCTGAAGCCTTTTTTATTCCAAGATGTTTTGAGTTCGACTTGAGGTTTTTCTGATAAAGATATGTGAAAATGTGCTGTATAAACATGTCTCCTGCTTACATCTCAATGAATTTCATTTTGGGATCTTAAATAACTGCACTAGTAGTTTCCTTACGTTGTATTTCTTTTTCCCTTAAAGTAATCTCTCTATCATCACACCTGAACAATATTGTTTTTTTCTATTCTTCCATTTTCGATTCACCACCGCTCCTTTGTTTTGGGAGAATGAGCCCAAACAGTGTGTTGTTGTTCTGCTAAATGTAAACATTGTCCAACCTTTTCATTTCTTTTGGTTTTCAGGTAAGAGGGTCAAAGCGGCAGCCATAGAGGCAAAGCAGCAAGGTGTAGCAGGCATGAGTGCAGACAGCCATCAGGGGGTGGTGACCACTCCTCCGCCACCCACCGGGGGGACCAAGGAGCGCTATTTTGACCGGATCAACGTCAACGATCCGGAGTACATCAGAGCCAGAAACATGTCGCCGGATCTCCGGCAGGACTTTAATGTCCTGGAGCAGAAGAAACGCGTCACACAGATACTACAGAGCCCAGTAAGTGCAAACCAGGAACTACTTATAACATATCAAGCGCCTCTGATTCTTAATGGCGCCGCTGCTGAAGTTAATACATCTTTAATTTAGCTGTGACATAAAGATTTAAATTTGACTCTTAACCACTAACATCCCATCAACCAGGAATCAGAATTAGAAATACTTTAATAATCAAAAGGTGAAATTACTTTATAAATATGACATATTTAATAGAGTGACTGTAGAACTTATTTGATATAACACAGTTTCATACAATTTATATAATTAGCGGGTCCTCGCTTCATCTCACCATCAGTTGGGGGGTCCTTGGCCTGGAAAACTTTGAAGACCCCTGGCTTAGTGGGTTTACAGAAAGACTGAACTCTGACCATGGCAAAAATGAAATCTGGATAGGAATCATTTTCATGTGGATTTGGATTCTTGCCTCAGCATCTTATACCATTGATAAGACAGTCTACAGTTTTCCAGGAGATTTTTTTTACTTTTTATGTCCTGGATATTTGTAAGTTTGCTAACATGCAGGAGCAGAAACAGGCCCTCAGCATCATTAATCACCCAACCCACTATACAATGCACATGAGCTATCTTTCCAATAAGATGTTTTTTAGTTATAACCATTTATTCATAATCTAGTAAAACGTTTTATCTTATTACCTGACACTAGAGCTGCAACTAACGATTACTTTGCAAATCCATCAGTCTGTCGATTACTATTTTGATTATTCGATTAATAATCGGATAGCAAAAGGTTCCTTAAAGAAGATGTTTACTAAATTGAACCAGGTGAAACTAAACTTTTCCACTTGAGGAGTTCTCGATAGAGCATATGGATGGATGAAAACATTTTTTTTTTTATCTTTACTGCAAAATGATCATACTTTTTTTTTTTACAATTTTGATATAATTGCTGCTCTATGTGGGTTGCTCAGTCAGCTAAGAGCATGTTTACATTCTACACTCTAGTTAACAATTAATCAATTACTAAATTAGTTTATGATTTTTTTCAATAATCAATTAATCACGATTAATCTGATTGATCTGATTTCAGCCCTACCTGACACACAGTTTCAGTTCAAATCAATGAAGAGTTTATTTGCAATATTTACAATGGTGGGGATTAAAAGTTTCTTAGAGTCTGGCTTCAGCATGAAGACTGCATCTAAAGATGTCACTCTTATCTACCGTTTATTGCTTTTAGGGCTTTTTTTTTTTATTTTATTTTTTTACATCTTTTACAATCCTCATATCTCCTCTACCTTGTTTTTTTTCCCTTTTTTTCAGGTGCCTTATCTCTTAAGGACTGAAAAATATTAGAGATCTATGTAAAGGTGATACGTCAGTAGCAACAAAAGTTTGGGAACAGCTGCTTTAGTTGAACAATGCAGTGATGATGTCAGCTGCAATAAATCATCCTATATCTTATTCTTTTACTGCTCATGGTGCTTCCAACATTCATTTTGATCATTAGTATCTTCATCATTATTACTTCCATCAGGTGTTGGAATCTACTCTAGTTATAATCAATCTTAGCAAGGATGTATGAAACCAAGAATATAGTATTAATGGAAAATAGTTGCAAATTGAGCCATCTTTAATGTTTGTTCTAGGTTGGTGTTGATGCAGATTGCAGATAGAAATGATGTGTTCTGTCTTTCTGTTGTTAATTGGGTACAGAGCAGCGTCCCTAACGACAGCATACACTATAATAACTAACATCTGCAGCTGTGATGTCATTGAATGATGGACTTGTTGTGGATATGAGAGCTATAGCAACACTGTTTGTGCCCGGCTGCAAGCCCTGATGTGATTTTTATTACTTTTTTATTCCTGTCAAACTGAGGCCTCTAATACGCATAGGATGATCCAATTTGTTTGGGTCCCTATCCCGAGGACCACCAAATTCAGACAATGTCCTCCGTTTGACTCATTCAAGTGATGAAAACTACCGTAATAAAGAAATACCTAAAAGATGGTTATAATAAATGTAAAGGAAGTAGAGCTGCAGTCACTGTCACAGCGGCACAAAGGCGATCCATCCGAATACAAAGGCTGCAACCCACGTCATGACTAACCTGCAAACAATGCTTTTAAAACAGGGCAGGCAGAATAAAGCCTCTGTAATGGTTTCTAACTGAGATAGGTCAGTGGAAGTTGATTCTCAGAGAGCTCACTGAGAAGTTTCCCAAAGTTATTTTTCAATACGGAAGGGAGCCCAATAAGCCGCATTTGATCCTGCATCGTCCCGCTTAAGCGTCCTTGTTGTTCTATCTTTGTTTTTTTTTAAGTTCAAAGAGGATTTTACTTTATCTGTTTTCTGTTCTGTTTAGCCCGTACCATGGATAAAGTACACTTTATATTGAAATGTTTTACATTGAATGGCTGAGTCTGACCTGCTTGCTGTGTAATTCCAGATGGGGTCAACTTGACTGGTTGAGATTTTTATTTTACCGCAGTGTCTTTCTTCCTGTCTGACCTTTGACATTACTAGTTAGAGGTCCTAGGAAACATGGACCAAAATATTAAGTGTGTTTCGTGGACAGGGCCGCCTTTTACAGTTACTTTTTTTTTTGTATCTCTGCTTCTGTCTTCTTGAACCCCAGTCAGCCTCAGCAGATGGCCGCTCACACTGATCCTGGTTCTAATGGAGGTTTCTTCCTGTTAAAAGGGAGTTTTTCCTCTCCACTGTCACTACAAGCATGCTTAGGGTGAGGGATTGCATTCGAGTCAATGAGTCGATGCAATCAACTTGTTTTCCTTAGATAGAAAACTTTGAATCAATTTGACTGGATGATCTGGTTGAACTGTAAAGTGCCTTGAAATGACATGTGCTGTGAATTGGCGCTATAGAAATAAACTGAATTAAATTTAATTTAATTGATTTCACCACAAAACAAATGTACTCTAACCTAGATTTTTTTTTTTTTACTTTCAGTGTAATATTGAGCTACTGCAAGAAAAGAAACATTTATTTAGCAGCCCTTCATACCTCCATACCAGGATTGTTATCACTGTAGTTGGAAACAAGGTCATTTAATTTTCCAACTTTGATCAGACTGGGAATTACAGCAAGTTTCCAATAAGTCCTCCTATTAATATTTGGATAGCAGAGGCAGCACGATTACAGCAGAGGAACAACCCCACTTTTCAGGATTAGTTGATCATCAGCTACGTTTTTGTTTGCTGGATGAGACAGAGGTCATTGGGTGAAAGGGCTCAGATACCTTCCTTTTTATCAAATAGTGTAGAAAACTATAATAAAGGACAGCTTTAATTTTATAGAAGCTAATTAAAAGCTGCTTGCCAGCATGTTGGTCCAATGTTGATTTTATGGTGGGGGAGCACGTAAGCTAAGCTTTGAATAATTACTAATGGGATGAAAGTGCTTTGAATGCCACAGATGTTTTATTTGGTGGGATTTGCATGCCCTGCCCGTATCTCTGTGCTTTAAAATCCTCAGCGGAACCAAATACTTGCCTCAAGGTGTAAACATTTACTGCCAAAATATTTGATTTCCCCCTGTCTGCTGGCTGAAAGCGTTTCAGTGCCATCGAAAACTTGAAATAAAAACTGAAGTAGAGAGTTCATATATCTCAGTTTGTTCTCCAGACTGCAGAGGGATCGATGAGGCTTTTGGATAGTAAACGGTTTACCCCACCCATTAGTACCTGTGGAAACGTTTCCTGTCTTTCTTTCTCCTAGTCAGTAGTTCTGTCCTAATCAAGACATGTCTCAATAAGTTTTAGAAGCGACTGCATCACTTGTGCCTGTGTGTAACTGCCTGTGTTGATGTTGTGACACGGGCAAAAGGAACCGCAGCAGTCAGTGGTTTTATTGAAACCATAATGCAACCACCAGCCACCACGCCCTGGCTCAGTCTGGCTGCTGAAACTCCCCGAATGCTCTGTGAGGCAGAAGCGCTCATGTCAGGTCATGTTTGCTCTGTATTGATTACTTTTAGGATCACAAATACAGTGTTTTCCCCTCTTGAGGTGGCATTATTAGGGCTTACATTCTGCTTTAAATCCAATTTTTGGAGGTAGGGGTACAGAGCAGTGCAGCTGTGAAACCTCAGGCTGTATTTACAAATTTGCATCCCTTTCCTTTGCTTTTATGAAATTTCTTAATACTTGCATCTCCTCAATCCTATATCAGTGCATTTGTGCCCGTAAGTCATGACTTATTCCCAGCCACATGTAAAGACAAGAGACCATTATGCTGTTCTGTGTTGCGCCCTTTGAACCGTTGTTCGGAGGTTTTACAACACGCCCACCATCTTTGGATATTTACTCTGTCATGTTGACTCAAGGCTCGTCTCTACCTGATGAGCACATTGCTCTTAAGAGCTGGATTGAGGTGTTAGGTCTGTGTCCGGTTTTAAGGATGTACTTTGAATGGCGTCAGGGACAGATTTATGACGTTTAGGATGGAGTGCGTGTCATAAAAAGCACAAATGGATACAGTGCCTGTATTCAAACCTCATGAACTGGAAAAGAAAAAAAA